TCCACCTCACTCCTCCTCCCCTCACTGCATTATTATCTGTGTCCATGGGTTATGTATACACATTTTTCCGTTAACCTCTTCCTTCCCCTTCTCTTGTCAGTCTGTTCCATGCTTCCATGTCATCTCTGGATCTATTTTGTTCATCAATTTATTTTGTTCATTAGATTCCACAGATGAGTGAAATCATGTGATACTTATCTTTCTCTGACTGGCTTATTTTGCTTAGTGTAATACTCTCCAGGTCCCTCCATGCTATCTCAAAGGGTAAGAGATCCTTCTTTTTTACTGCTGCATAATATTCCATTATATTAACTCTTAATGAAATGATAGGTTTATATTAATGACCCATTTCATATTATGTTTTTTCAATTCAAAATAAATTTTACCTCTAATTAACTTTCTCCATTTCAGACTTTAACATTTTGACAACACCTTATGCCTTAATTAAAGATTCTGAAAATCTCTATCTCAAATCACCTAAAGTTCTTGAATAGGTTATTATAGAAAACATTGTTAGTATACAAATCACTTTGCAGTCATCATTTGTCTCTTCCATGTTTCCTTTGTATGGAAGGAAAATCATTTCTTACTTCCCACTGGTGATGAAAACTTTTTTGTTATAGTCCATAATTAAAAGTTCTTTACTGGACAAAAAAAATTCAAATAAGACAGAGCAATTGAAATATGTTGACTTTTGCAAGATAATGTTGCTCTTTTTTAAAAAAAATATTTTTATTGAGTTTAGAGAGGAAGGGAGAGGGAGAGAGAGAGATAGGACCATCAATGATGAGAGAGAATCATTGATTGGCTGCCTCCTGCACGCCCACACTGGGGATCGAGCCCACAACCTGGGCATGTGCCCTGACCGGGAATCAAACCATGACCTCCTGGTCCATAGGTCGAGGCTCAACCACTGAGCAATGCCTGCCGGGCATGTTGCTATTGTTTATCTGTGACCATTAGGTGTAACCTTTCCTCCCTAGATCACTTAATGCCTTTAGGGACATCACAAATCCATAACAATTGCCTTTATAGAACTCACCTGTATTACTAATCTTGCTTTATATTTTCTGCCATACATTTGGGGTTTAAAACCCACCAGGAGGGTAATCCCATTACTGTCAAAAGGAGGAATTTCTCCAGACTCAGGTTTTACGAAAAACTCAGGATCACTGTCAGGTAGGAAGTATGCCACGAAGTCATCAGTATATCTGAAACAAAAATGTAAGTATCATCTTTAAATTTGATTATTACCTCATTTTCTTTGTGAGAACTTGATGAATAGAGTTTATATCCTTCTGTAATGGACTGCAGTGAAACACTAATGCTGCCATGCAGTGGTGAGTCTGATACTTGTAACTTTTTGGAATGCTCACAGAGTAACAGCGAGGAAGCATTTTAAAAATTATTGAAGGGTCATTCTTCCCAGGGTGACAAAATAGAATCTTAAATATTTTTTCAATTACATATTTATAGTCTACAAAGAATAAAGTTCTTTTGCTATACAAATTGGAATAACTCAATGCCCCAAATGAAAATTCAGTCATTTGTAAAGAAATTAATATCTGAAATGTCTCACTTCAACAGCTATTGTAAAGCCATTGTTTTTACTTCTATTTCAATGTGCTATTTGCTCACTCTCCTTTCATTTTCCACGTGTGAAGTGAGATGAAAGTAGTTTACAGGCTCATTAAAGATTCTTGGGCCAGAAGATAGATTGCTATGATCTGAAGTGAACTGAGTGACATTTAAGATTCAAGTGACTATCTTCCTGTCAAGGTTGATTACATTGCAATGAAGGCTGTGAAAGAAGTTGAGGAACTTCTTGGCAGAACAAAGCAGGAGAGAGGCAAAGTGCATGGAAGGTTGTAAGTGAGAAATTAAATTCAAACTGACAGGGGAGATGCAGGTAGAAGAACAGATCCACCAGTGAAACATAGAAGGAGATATGGGAGGTTCAGGTTGGGACTTACTCATCCATTCAGCGAATATGTATTGAGTATCTTGGCAGATGGTTTGAAAAAGTGGACTTTTGATATTGATGGCCTACATTGAAATTGTAGCTCTATCTAGATGCATGACTTCAGGCAATTTACTTAGCTTTTTTGTGCCTTAGTTTTCATATTTTTAAAATGAAGTTAATTCCTATAAAGTCATTCAATCAGTGAGAACAGCACCATATAAGGATTAATAAAAATTAATGTAGTCATCATCATGATTGTTTTTGTTTTAAAACATGTTATTACTGGTGCTAGGCATTGGTACATATTCTAATTCTGAACAAAGTCCAGTACTGGAAATACAAAAGACAGAGGACACATTAGAAAGAAATAAAAAAACCTAGATATTGTCTAAGAAATATATATATAAAACTTGGCTGGAAAGATAAGGCAGATGCATCGAAAGAAAAACAATGATTATTGATTTACACAATACTATAGGAGTTTAAGATTTTATTGTGATGAGAAGAACAATGAGTAGAATTCAGAAAGTTGGAGAGGCGATAAGAAGGGCATTTAGAAGCAGAAAGAAAATGAAGATAAGTAAGAAAGAGTAATGGATAAGACAGGCTCTGAGAACAGTTACTTTTTTTCCATATGACTGAAAAAGATCTATTCTAGACAGCAAAGAGAGGAAATCTTGAAGGTCTGAGTGGGCTAGGACCATGATGAACTGCATATATAATTTAAATGCTACCTTGGCTAAGAAACACAGAACTATCAAATGCTTTTAACAAGAGAAGTTATATGCATGTTAATAACATTGTTTTAAGGATATTGGTTTTACTATATTGTATAAAATGGGTTGGAATGAAAGGAACTACATATGGAATTAGGAGTAGCAAATTTTGTTACAACATTGTTTATAATTGAAAAATATAATTTGGGTGTCTTATTCCAAATGTTGTTTTGTTCCAATACTACATTTGAGCAAATTATTGGTAATGAGGAAACCATTTCACCAGCTCTGAAAAATTTTTTGAATGCATTAAATCAATTTACATTTAAACCAAAATATCTAATAACTTGAAATATTTTTGGAAGTTGTGAATAAGACTACAATGGATTCAAGATAGCTAAGTATGCCCGGCCAGTTTGGCTCGGTGGTTGAGCGTTGACCCATGAACCAAGAGGTCAGCAGTTTGATTCCAGGTCAAGGCATATGCCCAGGTTGCAGGCTTGATCCCCAGTAGGGAATGTGCAGGAGGCAGCCAATTGATGTTTCTCTCTCATAGATGTTTCTATCTCTCTATCCCTCTCCCTTCTTCTCTCTCTAAATCATTAAAAAACACATATATTTTTTAAAAAGACAGCTAAGTGAAACCCACTCCTATCCAATGTGAAAGCTCCAAACATACATGTAACTGTCCATCATTCATTTTGAACTAAGTACAGAAAATGCATCCAGGCATGCCCAGTACCTTTGAGGATTTAATTTCTATGATACACACAGGGACCAGCATGCGCCATCATGAAACACAGGCATGGAAGCCATTTGTTTTAGAAATGAAGAAAACCAGTAAGTTAAGTGCTACCTTCACCTATTCCACTCCTCACATCTTGTGTAGCACAAGTGGGGAATGTGCTCACTATGACCCAGTAACATAAAATCCATCACTGCCCACTCAATCAAGATGTCAGTCTTCCCAATTGATCTATAGATTCTATTTGATTCCAGTCAAAATCCCAGTCAGTTATATTATGGCTATCAACAAATGGATTCTAAAGTTCATAGGGAGAGGTGAGGGACTCCATAGCCAGCTCAATATTGAAGGAGAGCAAAGTTGGAGGACTGACACTCCTTGACTTTAAGACTTACTATAAAGTTACAGTAATTAAGACAGTGTGGCATTGGTGAAAGAATAGGTAAATAGGTCATGGAGCTTAAGAGACTCCAGATATAGTCATAAATAGAGTCAAGTGATCTTTGACAAAGGAGCAAAGGCCATATAATGTAGCAAAGATAGTCTCTTCAACAAATGGTGCTGGAACATTAATGCAAAAACAAACCTTACACTCTTCTCAAAAACAGACACACACCTTACACTCTACTCAAAAACTAAGTCAAAATGTATAGTAAACCTAAATGTAAAACACAAAACTATAAAACTCCTGGAAGTTATGATGAGAGAAAATCAAGATGACCTTGGGTATAGTGATGCCTCAGTAAATACAACAGCAAAGACACAATTCATGAAAGAAATAATAAATAAACTGAACTTAATTAAAATTAAAAAGTTCTACTCTATAAAAGACAATATCAAGGGTAAAAATATTTACAAAAGACACATCTGATAAAAGACTGTTATCAAAAATATACAAAGAACTCTTAAAACTCAACAATGAGAAAACAAACAGCCCATTTTAAAAATGGGCCAAGGACCTTATCATATACCTCAGCAGAGAAGATATGCAGACAGCAAATAAGCACTTGAAAAGATACATCCCATCATATGTCATCAGGAAAACAAACCAAAACTACAATGAGATCCATTATACTTCCATTAGAGTGGTCAAAATCCAGAACACTGGCACCATCAAATGCTTGTGAGGAAATGGAGTAACAGGAACATTCATTCATTGTTGGTGGGAGTGCAAAATGGTACAACCACTTTATAACACAATGTGGAGATTTCTTACAGAACTAAAAACACTCTTACCATAGAATCCAGCAATTGTGCTACTTGGTATTTACCCAAAAAAGTTGAAAACTTTATATCCACACTAAAACCTGCACCCAGCCCTAACCAGTTTGTCTCAGTGGATAGAGCGTTGGCCTGTGGACTGAAGGGTCCCACGTTCGATTCCAGTCAAGGTCATGTACCTGGTTTCGGGCCACATCCCCAGCGGGGGGTGTGCAGGATGCAGCTGATCGATGTTTCTCCCTCATCGATGTTTCTAACTCTCTATCCCTTTCCCTTCTTCTCTGTAAAATATCAATAAAATCCTATCTAATAATAGACAAACATGGTAATTGACCATACCTTCGCTACGCCTCCCATTGGCTAATCAGTGTGATATGCAAATTAACTGCCAACAAAGATGGCAGTTAATTTGCATACTGCAAGCAGGGCAGGCCAGTGCGAGCCGCCATCTGGGCCCCCATGTGCCGCCTAAGCCCCGCCCCCAGGCAGGACCCCCGTGAGCGGCCCTGGGCAGCAGGGCTTGGCGGCACAAACAAGCCAAGCCCCGCTGCATATCTTCTCTGCTGAGGTATATGATAAGGACCTCTGTGTGCGGCCCTGGGTGGGTGGGGCTTGGCAGTGCGATCGGCCGGAGGAAGCCCTATTCTTGCAGGAATTCTCCTGCAATGGGCTTCTAGTATATATATAAAAAAATAAAAATAAAACCTGCACCCAGATGCTTATATCAGCTTTTTTCATAATTGCCAAAGACTTGGAAGGAACCAAGACATCCTTCAGTAAATGAATGGATAAATAAACTATGGTATATCCAGATAGTGGGATATTATTCAATGCTAAAAAAAATGAGCTACCATGACATGGATAAACCTCAAATGCATATTACTAAGTAAAAGAAGCAAATCTGAAAAGTCTATATACTGTATGAATCCAATTATGTGATATTCTGGAAAAGGCAAAACCATGGAGAAAATAGAAAGATTAGTGGCTGCTAAGGGTGAGAAAGAGAGATGAATAGAAAGAACACAGAAGGTTTTTTAGGGCAGTGAGAATACTCTGTATGCTATAATCATGGATATGCCATTATACTTTTGTACAAACCCATGGAATGTTCAACATCAAGAGTGAACCCTAAGGTAAACTATGGACTTTGGGTGATCATGATGTGTCAATGTAGGTTCATCCTTGTTAAAAAATATACCATTCTGGTGAGCTATGTTGATAATGGAGGAGGCTGTCTATGCATGTGTAGGGCAGGTGGTGTCAGAAAAATATCTGTACCTTCCTGTCAATTTTGTTGTAAACCTAAAATTGCTTTTAAAAAAGTTTTGAAAAAGACACACTGGGTGATTTTATTTATATGAAATATCTGGAGAAGGCAACATTATAGAGATAGACAGCAAATCAAAGCTTTCCTGAAATTGTGCGTGGGAATGGGGGTTAACTGCAAAGGGGCTTGAAAGAATTTTTTTTTTGGGGGGGGGGGGGAGTGGGAGTGTAATAAACCTGAATGTGGTTATGATAGAAAATTCTATGAATTAAAAAAAAATACTGAAAGGTACATTTACAATGGGGGAGCTTTATGGTATGCACATTATCCCTAAAAAAAAAAAAAGCTGTAAAAACATATTTCACATGTGAGACAGGTAAAATGATTGTGGTCATGGTGCCTATGTTATCACAAGTATAACAAAGATATCTATAGTTAAGGAGAATAATCATACAGAAATTGAATCAATATAAGTTACCCAATCATCTCTATTTAGATAATCCCAAACCATTAAAATTTATTGTAAAACATTGTAAAACATTCCATTTATCCTTCAAAATACATTAAAGTATCATTTGAAAAACAAATAGAAACATTATCCTAAATTTCAATATCTGTTTACTTTTGCTTCTTGTTTTTTGGTCTTCACCTTTAGGGCCTATTTTTAAATTTTTAAATAAAAATTATGAAACATATAGAGCTTTGACTCATAGAAGCAATACTGCTCTGACTTAACCAGCAAAAGATGACATAATAGAATTTTTCATCTTAAATTTTGTTTACCAGTTTAGCATAAATTACATTCATAAAACCAGTTGCATACCCTTACTTGATATATATTACCTTTTCCGACCGGACAGCCAGAATTCAGTAACAGCTTCCTTAAATAAACCTTTTCCTTCAATATTAATTACATCATCCACCTCAGGCTCAGTAGCAATCAATGTTACGGGAAAGTTCCAGATGCCATCTGTTATACACTCTATTTTTAGTATAATTTGAGACCTTGAATAGAAAAAGAGATTATAACACAATCTATAGGAAAATAAGCAAAGAGAATACAGTATAGTAGATCTATATCTAAGGTCAAAGTTTAAGCAAACCTTGTGGTTTTAGTAAAACACTGGGACTTTTAATTCTTAAAAAATGTAGATGGCTATTAATTGCACTTATAAGTTTTAGGTCACAGGTTATATTATCATTCTCCTTTTGAGGTAATTATTTTGTAGCACATCTTATCTACTCTGTAGGTATTTACTAAAATCCAGAAACATATGTGGATTTGACTGTGAAAATTTTCTGTGACCAGCAAAGGAGAGGTTGGTAAATGGTCCTAAGTGTTATGCTAATAGGAGATCCATATGGGAATTTTTGGTTCAAAGTGAAACACTGTGGCCCAGCTGACATGGCTCAGTGGTTGAGTGTTGACCTATGAACCAGTAGATCACGCTTCGATTCCCAGTCAGGGCACATGCCAGGGTTGCAGGCTCGTTCCCAGTGTGGGGCATGCAGGAGGCAGACAATCAATGATTCTCTCTCATCACTGATGTTTCTATCTCTCTCTCCTTCTCTTTCCTCTCTGAAATCAATAAAAAGAAATTTTTTTAAAAGAAACAAAATGAAACACTGTGAAAGAAATTTCAACCCTTGCTTCACATAGAGAAAAATATTTTCTGCAAACACTTACCAAAGCCCCATAAAACTGACTTAAATTGAAACTTATAAAAATTATATTGTAATTGATAAAGATCACAAACCCCTTACACAATAACATATAATTAAGTGGCAATTGAATTAGTGAAGAGAGTAGAGAGAGACTTTCTAAGCCTTTGGCTGTGAAGAAGAGTGGAGACAGAGGAGTTAGTAGCTGAAGTTGAGGAATAATTAATTACCTCTTTGCTTGCTTAGAGTGGAAATGACTCAAACATGTAATCATGTGGTTGCAATATCACGTCATAATGGACAAATAAATTACAACCCTCTTATGTAAAACTGTTAGGAAAAACAGTTCTTGGAACTCTTATCCTCTTTAGATAGGAGTCTAAAAGTATTCAACCCCCCTAACCGGTTTGGCTCAGTGGATAGAGCGTTGGCCTGCAGACTCAAGGGTCCCAGGTTCGATTCTGGTCAAGGGCATGTACCTTGGTTGTGGGCACATCCCCAGTAGGGAGTTTGCAGGAGGCAGCTGATCTATGTTTCTGACTCTCTATCCCTCTCCCTTCCTCTCTGTAAAAAAACCATAAAATATATTTAAAAAAAAAATAAAAGTATTCAACCAGTCCAGCCGGCATAGCTCAATGGTTGAGCGTCGACCTATGAACCAGGAGGTCATGGTTTGATTCCTGGTCAGCCCATATGCCAGGGTTGCAGACTCCATCCCCAGTGTGGGGTGTGCAGGAAGCAGCCAATCAATGATTATTTCTCATCATTGATGTTTCTATCTCTCCCTCTCCTTTCCTCTCTGAAATCAATAAGAATATATTTAAAAAAGAAAAGAAAAAAGAAAGCACAATCTTTTTTTAAAAAAAATATTCGACCATTTGGGTAACAATTGGACAATAACATACCACATTTTGAAGCTGCACACACTAAACCAGCAATTTCACAATTAGTAATTTTCCCCAGAGATATGCATCAACTATTTCAAGAAGTTATATGTATGAGGATGTTCATTGCTGCATTATTAATACTATAAAAAAAACTGGTGCCAAAAATTTAAAAATACCCCTTTGATAGAGTTGCCGGTAACAATAATGTATACTGAAATGAAACAGTGGACTTAGTCCATGATGACTGATATATCTTATTATATGCAAACATATATGCAAAATGTAAATGCTACTCCTTGACCACTCTCACACTCTCCTATCTTAGTAAATGAAACTATATTCCTCTCGGCACTATTTCAAGAGCAATAATTTGATAACTCGTCTTCCTGCTTCTACTCTTGCCATCTTCCAAAAAGGAGAGGACTTCCATAATTTCAAGCTATTGTTTTATTTTGGTTTTTATTATTTAACTCTGTATCTTCCTTTGAACCATCCCAAATTCATTTGGAGCATGAAATGGCAGAAGTAAATGAATATGCACATATATGTACAAAATAGAACTGTTAAACAACAACAGAGCCTCACCCAGCACTTAGACATAATTTTATGAATCATGTGCACAAGTTACCCTAAATCACCGCCCCCCCAATTTATCCTTCAGTCATTTTCAATTGTTTCTAGCATAAAAGACAAATTCATAGCCTCAAAATACTATATGATCAGATCCTGTCCAAACTTGCCAACCTTACTTTCTCCTTTGCTTACAGAAACACTTTGCATTAGAGAAACACTGGATTCCTTACTACTAGAATTCTATAAGTATAAATATTCTCCTGCACTTGTTTCCTATCTCAAATACTCTTCTAAGATCTTCCTATCTATAAGGTCTTTGTTCAGACATCATCTCTTCAAGGAATCTTAACTGTCCACTTATCTGATGTGCATCCTTGATAGCTCTCTATCCCCCCTTATATATTTTCTTCTCAGGACAATCTTAAATGTTATTGTCTACATATACATTTAATATTCTCTTCTATTATACTCACTAGGCTATACAATCTAAAAGTACAGGGATTTTTGTCTCTTTTGAAGATGTTAAGTGATTTTTGAATAAATGAATGAACATGTTCAAATGAACAATGTTGACTAATTCATTCTGCAGGATAATTCTTGGAGTTAGTGAGAAATCACTGAGTCAAACTTTTTGGCCCATGCAAGAAAGACCACTGAGTTTCAGGGATGATCATATGAATCATTTTGTGGTCAATACTGTGGATTCCTAACAATGCACCTATGTGATATTTCTTATTCTAAGTTGTCTCCCCCAAACCCTGTAAAATTGAATGTTAGGTTCCCATTTTGTTCATTACTTGAGCAGGCGAAAATTTCCAGGAAAAAGTTGAGCTAAGATAATTAATATTTTTAAAGATGCCCTAAGACAAATGGTATCTATCATTTATCCATTTTTTTTAAAAAAAAGTTTAGACCTGTGTTAAATTAGAATAACCAGATTAATGACAATAGTAAATATTGATCTCTTAAGTATTTGTATTAAACCCTTAAATTTTTTTTTAAATCCTCACCCGAGGATATTTTTCCATTTATTTTTAGAGAGAGTGGAAGAGAGAGAAAAAGACAGCAAGAAATATCGACATGAGATAAAAACATATTGATTGCTCAGGTCAGAAAGGAACTTGCAACGGAGGTATATGACCATGACCACAATAGAACCTGGGACCCTTTGGTCCTCAGGCCGATGCTCTACCCACTGAGACAAACCGGCTAGGGCTAAACCCTTGATTTTTATAGAAAGGAAAAAATCAAGAACTTTAGGAATAATATTCCTGTTTTTTTTCTCTTTGTAAAACTACCATTTAGAGCCCTGACCATTATTTTTATTACGTATAATGCTATGCTGTGAAAGGGTGGATGCTAAAAATTACCTTGTTACATTTTCCTTTTGAAAAAACATGAAAATTTTGTTTTTCATTTTACCTTGCCAACGAGGGAGACAAGAATTGAATTTAATATTTATTTTAATTATCTAGGTAAAGCATGGTTTGGATATAGTTATTTTTGTACTTCTTTTTCAGAGTTTAGAGCTATTGGTTTTATGTTAGTTTTTCTCATTTAACTATGTCTTGCAGTGAACCATTTCAAATGTATATGGAAGAAGGAATGACAAAGGTAAATGAATTTATAAACATATGCACAAAATAGAATTATTAAACTACATCAGAACATCACACAAAACTCACAAAAATTTATGAATCGTGCATACAAGTTACCCTAAATAAGTTTCTCAAATATTCACCAAGAAGCTCTAAATCTGTAAAATGTTACAGGACTATAAATTCACATTGGTTCTGCTCATATTCACTAATAATAACATTTTCCCCTTATGGTTGTTGCTGGTAATTTCCATATCACTAAATTAACACTGCAAAGCTAAGTGTGTAAAAATACTAACAAATAAGCATAGAAAACTATAAACATGAAAGAGAAGATAAAAGAGTATAATGTCAATGTTTATAGTGTACTTTTTTCTTGAAGCTTGATTTTATTACTGCTTTCTGAAGATGACTGTGGTATCTTTTAGTTATTGGACTACATATTCAAAGCCACTTTAAATATGTGTCTGGCTACATCAGCTACATAGTTAAACTATAGAAATGATTAAAAGCACAAATAATACTTTCCATTGTTTTGTTTTGTTTTTCATTGCCAGGTTGCATTTTGTACTTTGTGCATATTGTGGTCTTATGATAAGTATCACTGCATTAAGATATAAATAAAACACTATTTCAGATGTGACCTAACATACAGTATTTGCAGGTACTAAGTATTAGTTGCCTAAAAAAAGTAAATATAAAGACCCTGGATAAGGCTTCCCAGTGGGCAGACATTTAAAGTTCGCTATTCTAAAGGATTCCGATATAATCCTCTTAAACCTTACTAGAGACTATGTGCGATGTTATGGTTTTAGGTCGTAAAAGGGTAATGACAGCAATTATAAAGTAAAAAGAACATAGTTTAGGATTTTCATAATTTGAACTGGTTCTGAGAAGTATCAAGAAACATCATCTCGGCAATGTATGGTGACAAATCAGTATTTTTTTTCATTAAATTTTTTTTTAACTAAAATGTAGTTGGCATACACTATTAGATCTGTTTAAGGTGTAAAACATTTGTGATTCCACATTTCTAAACCTTATAATGTGATCATCACCCTAAGTCTAATAAATATCTGTCACCATGCAAAGCTATCACAATATTGTTGATTATATTCCATTTCACCTTCTTAATTTTACAAAGCAGACTGTTCTTTTTTGTTAATATTATACCTTAATGAACTTAGGGAGGTCAATATTTGGGAAGGATATCTTAGATTTCTAATCATTTGGACTCATTTTTCATCAGGCACTTTTCATAGCTTGACAGCTACAAAAATAATCTAACCCAAAATATTTGCCTCAGCAGCATCAAAGAAATAATGCAATCCAAATATAGAAAAATGGAGAGAATAATAAACATTAGTTTAAAATAGCAGTAATATTGTTTAAAGAAAAAATGGATAAAAGCAGGTTTACTTCATTGGTTTCTTTGGTGAAAATATCACGTTGAAGTCCAACGTTATCACTTGAGTCTTGATATTGTAAGATCTCTTCATCAAATATACAGCCACAGAGGGCTGTAAGTCAACTCTTACTTCGTCAGATTCATATAGAATTTCATATTCAAATTCACGTTTTATAGGTATTCCTAGGAAAATCAAGATTAAAGTGCATTTCAATTTACTTAAATATTAATAGGTTGGATATCAGTTACATGTCAACAATAATGATGCAGAGGTATTTAGAAGGAGGGAGAGAGTAGATGTTATTGAGCTTTGGTTTCATAATACCAAGTGTATTACCAGGTACATAATAGTCCTAAATATGATTTTGTTAAAAGGTAAATAAATGAATGAATATAAAAAATAATCACCAAAGATAATTCTCATCATCCTTAAATATTTAAAATTCAGACTTATAAAATAAGAAATAGCCAAATGGAAATGAGTAGTCAATATTTACTGTAAAGTACAAATAGTATGACATGCTCTATATAATAAATGTATTAAAAGCTTATAGACATAATTTATAAAGATTTGAATTAAGTTTAAACAATACATAAGCCAGTCAGAGAAAGATAAGTACCATATGATCTCACTCATATGTGGAACTGAATGAACCAAATAAACTGATGATCAAAAATAGACCCACAGACATTAGAAGCATGAACAGAATGTTGAACCTCAAGGGAAGGCAAGGGAGGGTGGGTGGAAAGAGATAAACCAATGAACTTGTATGCATATATGCATAACTTGTGGACAAAGACAATGGGATGGTGAGGGCCTGGGGTGGGGGAATGGGCTGGAAGAGGTTACTGGGGGGGAAAAGAGGACCTATGTAATACTTTCAACAATAAGAATTTTGGGGAGATCCAAGATGGCGGTTGATGGGACAGCAGGCTGCAAGATAGTGTGTGAGTGAGAGAATGAAAGGAGAGTGCGTGGACGTGTGGGGAGTGTCTGTATTTATGAGTGATGGACAGCCTATATTCCACAGGACTGGTGGGGACTGGTGGACCAGGCTCCCCTGGCCGGCAACCTCCACTACTGCTGAAATCTCTCCAGGAGCAGCCAGCTATGCCACAGAGACTGTGCCATTTTGAAGGGGAGAGCGGCTGTGATCGGAAGCCCAGCCTTACCTTCAACTGGGGAGACCTTGGATACCTCTTGGGACCCTACAACCACATCACCCAGGGACAAGCTGCCTCAGCTGCAAACCCACGAACACTGACCCTCCAACCTCCCCGGCCGCGGGTGCATAAAAAGTTTGTTCAGAGGGAAACAAAGCAGTGCCAAATATGCGGATGGGCCCTGCACCTTTTCACAGAGCAGATAGAAGGTACAACTGAGTCGAACAACATCCACCCAGAATTGGTGAATTAAACACAGCTGGTGAGGCAATCCATGGATGGAAAGGTCGGAGATCGCCTAGAGAGAGCTCTGCCTCCTCGGATTCAGCTGGGTGCTTGTTGTTTGGGTGTTTGTTGTTTGCATTTTTTGGATTAGTTGTTGTTTGTTGTTTGCATTCATCTCAGAGTATTTGTTGTTTGCATTTTTTAGATTAGCTGTTGGTTTTTTGCAGTTTTTTCCCCAAATAAATATATTTGTTCCCCTTCTTTTTTCTTCTCTTTTTTTTCTCTCTTACATTTTTTCCTTTTCTCAATATGATTTTTGCACTGTCAGACTAGCCACTGATTTCTCAACAGAAACACATCAGACCAGAAGAGAATGGAATGATATATACAAAGTCATGCAAAGCAAGGGTCTAAATCCAATAATATTATACCTAGCAAGGCTATAAATCAAAATTGAGGGCTAATTCAGGAGCTTCACAGACAAAAAAGGAACAAGAGAGTTTATTACCACCTAACCAACAAAGCACGAAATGCTAAAGGGCCTGCTATAAAAAGAAGAAATTCTAATTCTCTTTTCTCTGGTGGTCACCTTTATTTAGGGGTTATTGGTATTGTGAATACACTTATGTTTGGTGCCCTGTGCATTGTGTCTTGTCGTGTTGTATTTTGTGCCTTTAAGTCAACGCAGGAGAGAGGGAGCTACATGACCAGACACTTTGACAGGAGCAAATCCCATATATCTGCTGTCTACAGGAAACCCACCTTAGAAGAAAGGACTCACAACAACTAATGGTGAAGGGATGGAAAAAGGGTTTTCAGTGAATGGAAATGAAAAAAAGCTGGGGTAGCAATACTTATATCCGACAAATTAGACCTCAAAGTGAAGGCCATAACAAGAGATAAGGAAGGCCTTCATAATATGGAAGACAAATTCAACAATATGTGTAAGAACCAAGAGGAAATGAAGAAGAAGAAGAAATGAAAAATGACATCGCTGCAATAAAGAACTCAAGAGAAAACATCAACAGTAGGCTAGAAGAAAAGGTAGGAAAAAATACACAAGCAGAGCAGCTTCTAGAAAAAAAAATTTAAAAACAGGAGGAGAGCATAAGGGAGCTTTGGGACAACACGAAATGAAAGAACATCCGCATAATAGGGGTACCAGAAGGAGAGGACACTGAGCAAGGAATAGAAAATCAGTTTGAAGAAATAATGACAGAAAACTTCCCTGATATAGGGAAGAAAAAACTCA